ATGGTCCCATGAAGTGCCATGAAAGTTTGAATCCAAAATAATGGTGTGCAGTCAAGGCAAAATACAGCGTCTTAAATGTTCATTGATTTCAGTACGGAATGTGTAAGCATTTCTTTAGCTCTCTCATTGTAATCCATGAGAGTAAAATGCACTTAGCTTTGGCTTGCTCAAAGCAATTGATGTTCTAACAATACTATTCTCATGGAGTTCAACAGAGCCTGGAAGTGTACAAAAGCTTTTGCATACTGTAGGATATAAAAACAAGGCTAGCTTCAGGATTATGTGTGCCATTAAATATGGATGCCCCCTCCTTAACTCCCTTGGGGATACACAGTGCCATCCTACAGTGCCACCCTCTGAAACACTGAATTCAATGGGCTAAGAAAGGTGTAATTCTGCTTAGGATGGCCCTGTTAGTAAACAGAGGGGATGGGGTCAAGCGAACTGAGATAAGTACTACAGTCCTCAGGACATTTTCTTAGTCTGTGCAAGACAGCCTACCCAAACCAGAACCAGTGGAGAAATAACTGGGGGAAAATTCCAGAACCTTCACTACCACTACAGAGAACACAGCGATATAACAGCATATACCACCTCTAGTCAGGTTGAGAACTACCTGAATGGTTAATTTATCTCGTCCTGAAATGTCACTATACTTACAGTTGGCATTGGGTTAAGCAAGGTCACAATAAGCTACCAAGTACTGCCCCACCAAAAATTGAGATGGCACTCCAAAGACCATTTTATTTGCTTTGGAGCACCCCCGCCCCCATTTGAAAGTCAGTCCAGCACAGGAACCAACAGGAATATTTCACACTCATTGGAATCTGGTGCTTATGTGAGAGCTAAACTAAATGTGATGGTGGCCATGGGTCCATCCACTGATGCCATTTTAGAAGTAGTTGTAGTTCTTTTTAAAAAAACAACAACTGTGAGGCCTCAACCTGCATAGGGCATGTGGCATAGCAGCCCCAAGAGCTCGTTTGCCATGTGTGTCTTTTCAGGTGCAGAAACAGCCTGCCATGGCTGCTTCAGCATTTGAAAAGGCATGGGGTAGGGGGAGAGCTCCTGGTGCCACTATGCTGCAATCCTGATCTGGTTAGGGGCCTAACTTTTAAAAAAAGCTACAACAGCTTCAAAAATGGCGTTGGCAGCCACAGGATGGACCTGTAGCCACTGTCAAGCTTAGTTTGGCTCTGTATTCACAGGGCCCAACATAATAAATCTATGGCTTGGTTCAGACATAACACGAACTAACACAATTTCAATCCACTTTCAGTGCATTTTGCAACTGGATTTTACTGTGTAAAATGGCAAAATCTACTTGCAAACGGTCGCTGAAGTGGATTGAAACTGCATTATTTAGCATGTGTGAAAGCGCCTAATGCCATGTTCTTTCCATGAATGACTTAGGGGACTCCCAGTGCTTTCTTGTTTGAGATGAATCAAAGAAAAACCTCTTTTTAACCAGTTGAAACTGTGGAATGGCTGCAGGTAGAATTTCTGCATAAATATTCCATCTGCAGCTGATCTAGGGAAGGGGACGGAGCTAGGCTCTCCCTTCAACATGGAAGAGCTAAGTTCTGCCTCCCCTCCTTTCATCTCATTAATGGGCTCTTCCCCTCTATTCACATAAAATGAAAATTTGAAATATTTCCTTTAAATTGGTCCATTAATCACAGTAAGTCTTCAATATATTGCATGATGAATTACATCCTGACGTTTTCCGCAGCACATCTTTTGCACAATTAAGGACAGAATGCCATTTTAGAAGTAGTTGTAGTTCTTTTTAAAAAAACAACAACTGTGAGGCCTCAACCTGCATAGGGCATGTGGCATAGCAGCCCCAAGAGCTCGTTTGCCATGTGTGTCTTTTCAGGTCCAGAAACAGCCTGCCATGGCTGCTTCAGCATTTGAAAAGGCATGGGGTAGGGGGAGAGCTCCTGGTACCACTATGCTGCAATCCTGATCTGGTTAGGGGCCTAGCAACAACTTTTAAAAAGCTACAACAGCTTCAAAAATGGTGTTCGCAGCCACAGGATGGACCTGTAGCCGCTGTCAAGCTTAGTTTGGCTCTGTAATGACAGGGCCCAACATAATAAATCTATGGCTTGGTTCAGACATAACAAAAAAACCCCACAATTTAACTATGCCTGCTTCCACACCAGGATCTCCCTCCATATGGATAGCTGGATGCTCCCACATTCTGAGGAGTATCCACACAACTGGGTGCTTTCATACACACGAAATAACACAATTTCAATCCACTTTCAGTGCATTTTGCAACTGGATTTTACTGTGTAAAATGGCAAAATCTACTTGCAAACGGTCGCTGAAGTGGATTGAAACTGCATTATTTAGCAAGTATGAAAGTGCCTGATTATCGTCTTTCTTTCTTTCTTTTGAAAATTTGAAATATTTTTTTAAATTGGTCCATTAATCACAGTAAGTCTTCAATATGATATTGCATGATGTATGAATTACATCCTGACGTTTTCCCCAGCACATCTTTTGCACAATTAAGGACAGAATACCTCTTAAGTCTCGGTGAGGTGGTGGCTCATAGAGCACAGGAGATTAAATTAGCATTTGTTGAGGCAAACCAGGATTTGAATGTCTGTGAGCTTGTTTCAGAAACTAAACATAGGCTACTTCCACAGGAAGACAGGTGGCTGTCAGTGGAGGCAGGCAAAAGCGCATCTGCACACCCTGTCTCTGTGCCACTGGCGGCTGTCCTCACCCCTCCATCACATAGGTACAGAAGTGCTTAGGTACTGATGATTGTATAGAGCCAGGGCTATTTTTGGGCAGGAACCCACAGGAACGGAGTTCCGGCTGGCTCCCAAGTTGGCCACGCCCAGCAGAAACTCATTAGCTTAATAGGCCACACCCAACAGCAGAAACTCATGAGGATTGGCTACAATTAGTGTGTGTGGCCTAACATGCAAAGGAGTTCCCGCTCCAAAAAAAAAGCCCTGGGTTTTGTCAACAAACATGGCAAAGAGAATAAGAAGCAAAAGGTGGGTGTGGCTGGATGACCACACTACTGGTAACATGGGGTGTGGCCCAATATGCAAATAAGCTGTGCTGTCAGGGGTGTGGCCTAATATGCTAATGAGTTCCTGCTGGGCTTTTTCTACAAAAAAAGCCCTGTATAGAGCCTCCGGCAACCCAGTAACCTCCCCTTTGACAGCTGAGCTATGGTTAATGGGGGTATCATAGCTCAGCTGTTAAGCATGATCAGTGCATCTTTCCCTTATTCTCATTAACCAGCAGGCTTGATTTAGACCTTACCTGATAATAGCCCACATCACAATAATGTATAGCATTACAGTTGTAATTCTCATTACAAGTTTCTCACCACATGTGGAAACTGGAAGTGCCAAGTGAAATTGCAAAAATCCAGTCCATATGAAATCTGGTTTTGTGTCAGTCTCTTCTACTTACCTGTTGTAGTCTCTTGTCAGTTTTTTTCAGTTAGCCATTCCAAACACAAATGCTCCATCATTAAATCTGACAAATCTTCATGAAGTCTTATACCAACTGATGATCATGACAAAGAGGGTATAACCATTGATGTGCAATGCTAAGAGTTCAAACAGTAAGGATTTGCTGACCATTTATACATTGTTTAAATGTTCTCCATAGACTGAAAAACTAGCAAAGGATCACTTGGCACACTTGTCTGTGCCTGTGGAATGTGCATTTTTCACTGTCGGCCTTACTATTAACTGTCTGAACACAAGACTGACACAAGAGCACATTAACGTGTTTTCTTTAAAATCAGTAGCAAAGCTAATAATTAGATTCTTAACCTATTTGCATTTAAATGTTTTACAGTTTGATGGTTTAAACATTTTAGTTTTACATCCCTAATGTGCAAAAATAAAGCTAGCATTAACTTCCCTGTGGCTTTACAATGGTATTACACAGATCCAAGGCTCAATGACTGCTGGTTACTAAAGGAAACCTCCATATTCAGAGGTAGCAAACTTCTGAATACCAATGTTATTATTGGTACCATCAGAGGACCCCATCCAGCCCAGGGCCCCTGTGTGGCAGCAGATGCAGGGAAGAAGCTGGATATTCCTCTGCAGCTGTCTGGCATGGTGGCTGTGCAGAGCCAGACAGCACCTCTCTATTTCCTCCAGAAAGTCTATTTCTCCCAGAAAGTACTTATTACAGGCGGACTCCCGAGCACCTGGGATCTCCACTTTCATGCTTCTCTCCCCCCCCCCTCTCCCAAGCTGGCAAAGGCAGAAAGGTAAGTAATTAACTTCAGCATAAGTTGACTTGAATTAAATTACCTTTAATTCGATTAGTCAATGCCCCCTGCGAAATTTAAATGCCCCCCCCCCAAAAAAAACTTAAAAATTTCTGGCTACGGGCCTGTTCTGACTCCCTTCCCAGCACATGCTTCAGTGTCTTCCTTAGCGGCCAATGCTAAGGGGCTCCCATCCATGTGGCCTACTTTAGACCTCTCCCAGTTCTACGCGCCCATCGGAGCCAGCCACCCCGTCGATTTTCTAGACAACAGCCCTTTCCAACGTCCACCTTCCAACTGGCCACTCTATGCAGTCTGCGCCCACGAGGAGTCTGAGGGGCGCGAAAGAAAGACAAACGCAGGCGCATCAGGGGACGAGAGAAGGGGGCAGGTCAGAGCACGAAGCCTCAACAGAGGCGCTGAGGCTGGTGGCGGACTTCTGTTTCCTGGGCAAGGCGAGAAAGACCAGCGCGGCGGCGGCGGCCTAAGGGTTGTGCAATGTCCCTGTCAGGTCCTTCCATCTCCTAGACAGCGTGTGACTGGCTGGGGAAAGGAAAGAGCCCTCCGCATTACTAGCAACGGCGAGGTTTCATTCACGGGCAGGCACCCACAGCAGTTCCCCCAGCCGGGTTGCCACCGCCGTGGCTCCTCCCCCCCTCCTCTCTCTTTCTCTCGCTCCCTGCCCGCCCCGCCCCGCCCTCCCTCCCGAGGGCTCTGCCGCAGCTGCAGGGCGGGAAGCGCGCGAGGAGTGGAGGCGCACGACAGAGCTAGAGCGAGAGAGGCACGCGCGCAAGGGGAGAACAGAAGCAGCGCCCGGGCGCAATGTGGGGCGTCAGCCGCCGGCTTGCAGCTGCTGAGAAACAGAGGCAGGAACTGGCCTGGGCTCGGGGCAGCTGCAGTTGCTGAAGGCAGGGGGGAGGCCGAGCTGGCGCCGGCGACCCAAACTTTGCCCGTTTGCCTGACAGGACGCGCCTCTTTGAGTCTATTTTTCTTTCTTCTTTTTTTGGTCGTTTCCCCTTCCTCACATGGAGACGTTGAGCGCCGTGAGGGCGAAAGTAGGGGCGCGGAGCCCTGGCAGCTGCGAGGCGGCGGGACCCAGCCAGCCCAAGCCTGCCTCGTCTTCGAGTCCCGCTGGAAGAGGCTCTCCAGCTGCGGCGACACCGGAGTCCCACGCTTATAGACTGGAGGACCTGGAGACCTTGGCCACTGTGGGTGAGTGAAGGCGGGCTACAGCCAATGAAAAACAAAGGACGCGGGCAGAGAGACCGCACGCTCGCGCCCCCTCCCCCCTGGCCACCCAGGCGGGGCTGCGAGGCGCCTCTCATTGGCGGGAGGACCACCCTTTCTTCTCGCGTCCCCCCCACCCTTTCCCGCAGTACGAAACGTGGAGGGTTTCCTGGTCCCGAGTGCCGTAGCTCGACTGTCTGCGTAGCAGATCAGGTAGTGAAATATAGTCCCGCAGTGACCCTTCTTTTGAAAATGATTCTCAGAGAGTCAGGGCAACAGGAGAGCGGTTGCCACCGTTTCCCCTCCCCTGAGCACAACCCCAGAGGATGTTGCCGGCTGCTAACGCGGTGCCATCGCGGTCACAGTGGCAGATCTTTTGCTTCTTTGGGCTTCACACCAGCCGTTCGTGCCTTCTGCCGAGGGCCAGTTTGTCGGCTGACTTCTAGGCTCCCTCGCTGTTCTGAGTACTTAGCACTTCCTTCCTGTTTTCTTCTCTGGAAAGCTCCTCTGGTGCTTTATCGGAGACGGCACAAGGAGCTTTTCCAAATGTCAGTAGAAAAGCTGGCAGGTGCCACCCGGGGCTTGAGACCTGCCAAACCCAGCATGAAGAGGTCTCATAAGGTGTGAAGCTATGTGTGTGTACACACAGGTGAATGGATTTTGCAGGCTTCTCTCTCCGTATTATATTGGCACAAAGCTAAACCAGTTTTGTCAACAGTGTGTGGTCCTGTTTATCTGGGAATATTAAAACTATTCTGAGTTTGCAACCCACAAGCCCTTTGAACAGGAATATTTGCATGCAAAGTGCTTTGAGTCCAGTATCTTCAGTGGGTGTTCAGCTTATTTAACTGAATAATATGCAGTTTAAGCAGTGCATGGATTACAGTATGCTGTAAAGAATTTTGATGCTTGCGTTCACAAGAACTCTGTGTGAAGTAATTGTTTTAAGGTAGTATAATTTCATGCCTCTTCAGGTTAAAATGAGTATTTGACTAAATGTGTTAACTCTCTTTTATGGCTCCCTGACAAATTCTGTTCAAGTTCCTCTTAATATCAAACATGGTTTACATTTGTAGACTTGTTCCTGTGATCAACTGGTAGGCTTTCATTGTTATCTTAAGCACTCTAGCCATTGTTCACATGAGAAACATGAATGTGTTTCTGTATCCCTTCAACTTTGCAGGTTTTCTGGGGACTTTTAAATATTGAAAGACAAGGGAGCCCTCCTCTTACACAAAGACTTCTGTCCCAGATTTATCCTCTTCAGGGATGTTTGCTTCTGGTTAACATGGATGATTAGTATTAGCAGGTCACTAGAAAAAAACACCACACTTAGCTACAGTGAAAGAGGAAGGAGGTGGTACAGAGAAAAGCAGAGGATGTGATCACAGTGTCTTATTTTGTCATAATGCATTGTGATCATATCCTCTGCTTCTCTCCGTACCATCTCCTTCCTCATCCACTCTAAGCGTTCAATTTTCTAAAGTGCAGTAGTAGTCAGTAAGAGACGAGAACACATGATGGAAAAAAAACCCCTCTTTCTTTGCTTGGGTTTGTAGGTTTCAGGAAACAGCTTTTGGAAAGGTGTTTGGGCTGTGGGTATTTATTACTTGTTATTATCCTAACTGCAAGAACTTCCTAACTAGACAGTCTTTGCATTTGTATGGTTCTCAAAAGTGTAAGATGTGTTTGGATAATAAGCGGAGAGCTGTGAGCTCCTCTTTCCTGACTTTTCCAAGAAGAAAAAGCACTACTAGCTACCATAGGCTAATTGTTTTTATTACCAGATCTTCATGAAGTCTTTGCTTTTGTGTGTGCTTCTGTTGTATAGTGCTGTGAATGCTTAGCATCTTTTCTAGTCTGGTGATAGACAAAATAAAAAAGCAACAGTATTTCAGCTGACATCTTTATGGTCATCTGTCTGTCACCTTTGTAAGGATCTGTAAGGTGTTTAAGTATTATTTTTCTGTTGGGAAAAAATGTTGATTAAAAAGGTGATGTTAAAAGCTTGTCAGTTTGTATTCCCTTGTTAATCTTGGTTTCATACGGTTTTTATACTGATGTTGGGTTTGTGAACAATGAAAGACACTTCTGGCATGTATAGGTTCATATGCCCAGGCCTTAAAATTAATTATTTATGCATTATTATGTATGCACTCCTGCATACAATTTTGTATGCACTCCTGTGACTTAGGCACTGACTTTATTCATCGTGCCTACGTTTCCTTCAAAAAGTTCGGCCAGTGCCTCTTGCAGAATGAATTGGATGAATATATCAAATGGTCAGTCTAATCTTAAATTGCTTGTACAAATTGTATAAACACTTGGTTGTTCTCTTGTTGATATCAGTTGGATTGTATATAAGTTTCTGTGTAGCAGACACCATAGTACTTCTGAATTTCTGGTCAGGAATTTGAAGTCTGATTGCATTCAGTTTGGTATGCCGCAAAATTGTACATCTGGAGAAATCTAAGGGCTAAATGGGTTTAATGCTTTGAGCCAATTCAAGCAACCATTCATGTGCTAATTGGAGTTTGTGTGTTCATGAATGTACAAAAGAGTAAGAAAAATGCATGCCTCTTGGATTAGTCTTAATGAAGCCCAGTTTTTGCAAGTAACTGCATCCATCTACAATTTGGAAGCCTACAACTCGCTTCTTTGTGGTTATTTCTAGTGGTTATCTCTATTTTAGTCCTATAGGTGTTTCAAGGAATCCAGAATGGTGTGCTTTGTTCTCCCCTTTTCAGTTTTATCCTCACAACAATTCTGTGAGGCAGGACCAATTGAGAATATCTTGCCCAAGGTAACTCAGCAGTTTTCCTAGTAAGGTAAAGGTTTCCCTTGTTCAAAAGCCAGTTGTATCCGACTCTAAGGGGTGGTGCTCATCTCCATTTCCAAGCTGAAAACCTAGCGCTGTCCAAAGACTTCTCCATGGTCATGTGGCAGGCATGACTAAACACAGAGGGGCACAGAATGCTGTTACCTTCCCTCCAAAGCAGTACCTATTTATGTATCTACTTGCAATTTCTTGCTTTCGAACTCCTAGGTTGGCAGGAGCTGGGGCCAGAGATGGGAGCTCACCTCGTCATGTGGCACTAGGGTCTCGAACTGCAAAGCTACAGACCTTTGGTCTTACAGCTCAGCGTTTTAACTTCTGAGCAGTTTGGTGGTCTGCACTGTAAGCATTGCACCAGGTTTGAACCAGATACTCACCCAGCAGTCTGGCATTCAGAATGAGATGTGCTATTCTTGATTTGCCTGGACCTCTCACCTGGTCTTGGTACCACCAATCATGAAATCCTTTTGGACTGTCTCTCTGGGCTGGGATTGGGAAGCATCATTTAGTGGTGGTTCCAGGCCTACCTGTAGGGTGGGTTTCAGAAGGTGATACTGGCTTGGCCTTTGAAGTCCTGCAAGGTTCTAACATCCTCTATGCTCCTTAACATCTACATGAAACCACTGGGTCATCCAGAGGTTTGGGTTGTGTTGTCACCAAGATCTGGATGACACTCAGTTCTATCTTGTGCTTTTGGCTGATCCTAGGAGCACTGTAGAAACCCCAAACTGGTACCTAGAGGCAGTTTTGAAGTGGATGTGGCTAATAAACTGAAGCTTCATCCCCAAAAAAGGTGGAAGAACTACTAGTGGACAGAAGGATTTAAGGTGACCCAGGATTTAAGGGGCCATCATTCTTGACAGGGTTGCACTCCCCTTGAAGGAACAGGCCCATAGTCTGGGGGTGCTCTTGGAGCCATGCCTGCTGTTGGATAAGCAGGTGGTAGCCATGGCCAGGAATCCCTTCTATTAGCTTTGACTGGTTAGCCAGCTGTGACATTTCCTGGGTAGAAAAGATCTGTCCACTATGATGCATACCCAGGCTACATCTAGATTACTTCAGCTGGTGCAGAATGCCTGAGCCAGGATGTTGGGTGAGGAGGGTCATGGGGACTGTATTGGTCCAGTATTGGCCTATCTATACTGTCTCTCAATCTGTTTCTGGGCATAACTCATGGTGCTGGTCTTGACTGTCAAAGCCTTGTACAGGTTGGGACCACTATACCTGATGGATTGCCTACTCTTTTATGAACCTACCCACCCACTATGGTCATCTTTGGAGGCCTTGCTTCAGGTGTCTTCTGGGAAACATCTTCATTATGTTGTATGATAATTTACTGCTCACCCTCTACTATACCCAAACAGTGATTAACACATGGAATTCACTGCCACAGGAGGTGGCGGTGGCTACAAGCATGGACGGCTTCAAGAGGGAATTAGATAAACATATGGAGCAGAGGTCCATCAGTGGCTATTAGCCTAAGCAAATTATTAGTGTAAAAAACTGGGTGTGCTTTGGAGCTTCACAGCTTTTGACTCAGCTTAAACAACCATTACTTATGTTCATTGGGGATCCATCCCCTCCTTCCCCCGGAGACTTCTGGCACATTCCGAGAGCTCAGGAAACAAGTGTGTTAAATCCTACTCTGTATCAGGTAGAAGCAGTGAGAAACTCATGTTGGTTTTTACTTTCTCCAAACCTGATATGGTTGCATAAAAGACAGTATCTGTCAACTTGAGTTTTCTGAGAATTCTCGGTCCTCTGGCAGAGATGGTCTTGTCTCACCTTGTATTGGTATGGGCTTTGGAGAAGAAGCAGCAGTATTATCTTTCTCTGTGGCTTTCTAAAAGTGAAAGAAGATGTTACCCATTCCTTGGTTTTTTATTGTCCTGAAGAATTTGTGGAAGGGAAACTTTGTGCTGAGCATCTGGTGGACAAGATCGTAGGACGTAGCTATGTGAGGTTAAGATCTCCCCTTCTTGCTTAAATTTGTTGTAATTTGTTATGATATTTTATTGTAATTAATTTTTTTTAAATTATATGTTATTGTTTTAACCCGGCACACAGTGCCCTTGTAACCGCCCTGAGCCTTCGGGGTAGGGCGGGATATAAATGTAAAAATAAATAAATAAATAAATAAAGATTGCTA